TCTTTTAAAGATAATCAATAATGTGAGCCTTAAGAAGTGATATCAGGAGAACGGAGGGCATAAGGAAATGCTATTACCTTTGCATAATAAACTCATTAAGGATATCTCTGAGTGGCTTTCAATAGACATTTTAGTCTGGTTAAGCCCTGATATCAACTGAATTGATAAATGCTACAACTGTGCTACTTAATGATGCATTAAATAAGTAAATATCCCATTGATGATGCGGAATTATGTCCCAGATTAAGCCGCAATGTTTCAGTTGTGTCAGGTGCTCAATGTCTGATTGCTCCAAAGACTGATGCTGCCATTACTGCATTTACCAGAGTGATGAGCCCTGCTTTGTCCTTAGTTAGCATCAATTTCAGATAAGAAAAATCAATCTCTATGTTTACCCTTCGCGACCAAATGATATGTAGGAAATTAAACTCAAAACAGCAGCTGCACACTTCATTTGCCAGCATCTGCTACAGCTCTGTTCTAATTCAGAATTGTATTCTTTTATAACAAAAATCAAGAGGAGAGGATGGGTAGAGGTCCAATGGAAAAAAGTCCATTTATATCATATTCTAAAAGCCTAACATAGAATTTAAGTAATTAAAGTTGGTACAATGAAATTGAAGGGCCTATTGGTAGTTGCACAGCTTTTGTAATAAATATGTATAAGCTTGTTGCCTTGAAATGACTTCTAACTGATCATTAAAAAATATAGAAATAGAGAACATTGACAGAAAATGATTCTAGTAAAACCAGAAAGTATTTTGATTTATCTCCATTCATGTGAAGGTGTTAAGCTTAGTGCAACGCTGGATTTCCTGAATGTTCCTGATGAAAATAACAAACAGTAATTCTCAAATCAGAGGACCACTCATCATATTTGCATGTGACATTAAAAATGTATTACCAAAGGAAGAAGGTATTTTTCAATTCAGGATTTAAAAAGTATGTACTATTTCTTTAATTTCTTTAATATAAGCCTACGTGCATTTTTGCTGTCGTGAAGAAGGAGCTCTCAGGGTTTCATTTTTAAAATAAATTTATCTCTTTGTCATCGTGACAGATTGTGACTCAAAGCTATTTCTGTATATTGGTGGGATTGAGTAGGTGGCAAGAGGCTGAGAAAAAAAAAACTTACGGTTTAGAAAATATTTATATCTATTTTTCTAAACCCATGAAAGATGTCAGGAGAGATAACCAGTAACCACTCTTCACAGGCTCTGGTCCCTATGTTTACTATAGGCCTTGATTTTGTGTTGACTTTCTGTTGCCTAATGTGTGTCATTCAGAGGAATGATCTAGAGAGAACAGAGCATGCTGCAATAATCAACACCTAATCTGCTGCTTTTACTTATATGGTAAAGGTGGTTGCTGCACATTGGTGGTGGTGGAGGGTATCCCATTTACCTGTAAAGCGCTTTGAGTGGAGTGTCAGAAAAGCGCTATATACTGTAGGTGTAAGGAATTTTAATTATCATTATTATTATACAGAAATGGTCTAATTTCTCTCTTCCAGTATAAATGAAGCTTTTTTTAGAAAGCTTAATATCATTGATCTGCCTTTTGGAAAACAGTGGGCTGCTGTCTATTCTGATAATTGTATGTGCACACTCTTCATGATGCCAATGATGATGTTTGGCAGTCAAGACAGATGACATTACATCTCTCAAAAACCATATTCGGGAAATGAAGTAGCCATCAGCATAATGATGGTGATAGAGGACTTTGTAAGGTTTAGGCCAAAACATTATTCATACAATGAATGGAAAGATCGTAAAGGACAACTAAAATTCTTGCCAAAAAGAAACATTAAAGTAAAGGTGACTGCTACAGGTATCTTGCTTCAGCAAATGTTTTAGTTAGAAATGTTGTTCAAGGTGAATGAACTATAATATGTTGAGGATCTATACATAGCAGTACATAACATACAAGATGAAACACTTGACTTCAGTTGGATAATACTAATAGTGCATTTAAGTCTTAAAACAGGAGGCACCTTACCCAGGATCGTGGCAATATGCAACAGGCTACCCAGCCATGTTAATGAAGCAAATAACCTGACTTCTTTCAAAAAGGGTTGATGAGCTACTTGAATCAACTTGCTACTAACTGCCAAATAGGCTAGATGCACCTTCTCTCATTTGTAACTGGTCTTATGTGTGCTTCTTTCCACATTTGTCTAAACAAACAGTCTATAATAGTTTAGTTTTTAGCGTTCTTGTATTATTATCTTTCTTATTTCATTAAGAGAAAAAAGCTCTTTAAAAGAAAGACCTAATGTCAGAGTGTGAATTATTATTACCAATAGTAATTATTACCTATTATAAACTTTATTTATGCCACAGGTGATATTGGCACTTTTCAAACTCAGAGTTAAATTTAAATGAATTTTAAAGTGGAAGTCACAAAGAATGCAGTCTTCATGATTCATGTTTGGCTATTCTATTATATTCTAAAACAACAGTTCAGAGAAATAGTGAAGCATCCAGTTATCAAGCACCAGACCCAGGTGTTATCTCACGTTCCAAACCAGCAACCTGTCTTTGCCTATTTCAAACACAGTACTGTATTCCAGAAATATGATAACTGCTTCTGAAGTTTTAGTGAGGAGAGACATTCTATAATGACTTTTCATTGAGATAAGAATTTGCTTTCAAGACACCTATTTATTTTTTCTGATTTCTGGACACAACTGCAACATGATTGGCATTCATCTGAATGGAGAGGTGACCAAGGGCAAGCTATTTTAATAGGCATTTGCAGCAGCCTCTGAGTTTGAGATTTCTCTTCTAATGAATTTTGAAGATTTAAGAATCAGTTGTCTTTAATATTTGTATAGAAACAAATACATAATCTATAACTGGTAGTACCTTTGAGGCAAATTATATTTTGTGACCAATCAGGCATTCAACCAAAAATTAATTACCATCATTTGAGTGAGTTGCTGCAGGTTAAGCAGGTTATAACTGGCATGGATTATGTTTCTTTAATTATAAAACCTGTATTATGCATGTCTGGAAGCATTAAAGAGATATTTTGTCTCCACTTTTCATGTGTAGTAACTCACTTTAAACGGTGGTGCAAATATCAGTAATGAAGAGATGCTTTTTCAGTAGAGAATTACTTCTAGGCGATAAATGGGAAGCAAATTTTCTAAGTAATCCTGTTCTATAGTTCTACCATTTCAATGAATTGCATCCTTTTATGTGTATGACCTACTCTATAATCTTAAAATGAAACTGTTTCCTTATAATTTAAATTACAATACTCTGCTCAAAAGTTCTTAGAAACTTGTTTCTTATGCTATTCGCCCTAGGGGTCATAACCACCCGACTGGACTCTGTTTAATTATCTCTGAGATCTGGAGCAGTTCATGGTGTTAAATAATGTTAAATCACAGAAAGCGATAATAGGAAATGGAGTCTCACAGGGCTCAATGTCAGTTCCACTGCAATTGTGTTCATATGTTAATGATTAAGGCAAAGGTTTTCAATTTCATAATCTCTGTCTGTATCCTGATGACACCAAGCTAAGCTTAATTTATATGATACTCATGTTACTGTTATTGAAGATAAATTACTGCCTGCTTCAAACTGGCAGCTTGGAGATTAAGAAATTCAGTGCTAGTATAACTATGAAAGGAGTGCCATAGGATAAGTATGAATACAAAATCCCAAAGTGATCATTTTTTCCAACATACTTGCCATAACTTCAACAACAATGATGGAAGGTGGTACTAGCACAACTGCGTAGCTTATGGATTGCTGAGCAGTTGGTATTTCTTAAGATGCACGTAAGAAATTTACAGCTAAAATTCAAGAAAAAATATTGCCCTATTACATGGCATGCTGCCACTTCCAACACAGTTACAAATAATGAGACACTGGCTTGTATTGCTTTGCTCTATACTGTATGTGCCACTCCTGGAGCAAGCCCTTGGATCTCTGCACAACAGGGGTTCTGAATTCTTTCTTTTGGCGGTGTCCCTCAAGTAAGCATGCAAAAGAGTGCCTGCAATCCTTACATACCAATCAACGAACCACTAAAATGCATTAACTTGTGGGGTTTTGCCTGCATCTGTTGAAATTAGAAATAAATCAATAATATTCAGTGAATAAAATAACCTCCCCTTCAAAAGATATATTGGTGAAATTGTTGGCACAGGAGAGACCTTCTTGAACGAAATGTTTTTTTTTCAATTACATTTTTTAACTTAAAAAAAATATGCAAAATGTCAGTATGCTTGGATTTTTCACCTTTCCCTATGTAATGTGCTTAATTATTTTTTAAATGAATGCATCACTGTAAACACAGTTGTTAACACTGTTTCCTAATTAAATTAGCCATGCAAATCAGTAAGGTACTGTATGCTGTTGATTGATAGAAGCAATGCACACAAGAGCTTTGATACTGCAGAAAAACAACTAGATATCAGCAATTGGCACTTTTTACAGTGCTAAGTAGTACATACTGTAATTATCTTTGGTTAGAGGGAGAACTAGAATTCTTGTACTACAATATGCATCCTTTATGCAAATGTTTTATATACATAAAAATATTGAGCACAGTATTTTGAAAATTAAAGATCCTTTTGCTTCTTACACTATAATGTGCTAATTTGGTATTGATGTTCAGACCTGTACCTTACAGGTTTCTTATGTACGGTAAGTGAGCATTTGTACCTTGATTTTTTCCACATTAAAGACATGAAAGCAAGAAAAAAGTTGTGTAGTGTTTATGAAGGAGTTTTGGCTACTGATAGAATTTAGAATTTAGTTTAATTCAAGTACAGCATTACAATGTTGTTGTGAACTGCTCAGATACAGTATAACTGGGTTTCTGTGTTCTTGCCAAATTTTCTTGAAGGCTAAATACAGGCATCTCAGAGAAAAAGTCAACACAATGGAGGGAATGAGATTGGAATTCAAAACACGTGCTTTTATTGCATCATAAAAAAAAGGTGTCATCAAAATATATTTTGCAAACGAGGTTTTTTACTTGTGGACCAGATACTGTAGGTTCTTCTCTTATTCGTCTCTGAACCTGCAAAACACATTTCTTAATACCCAATATACTTAATCACACATCGCCATTTACTACAGTATGTAGCATCCATAGTCTGTCACAAACAACTGCACAAAGAACACACAGCATACTGCACTGCAGGTGTCCATCCCACAAAGACTACAGTCTAGTTCGAGTTGTGCATCTCTTTGAAACATCTGCAGCTTAAGACCAGTGAAAAAGGATTCCTTTTCCAACTGAAAATTAATTGCACTAATATGTCCCTATTTGAAAACAGTGAAAATTCCATTTCAATTGCAAAGTGTATAATTAAAAAGGGACAGTGAAATCCTGTACGGTGGCCTACAAAACTGTAGATGAGAATCCCAGCTTGTATTGACTAAAAGGCAGCTCAAGAGGGAGTTGCACAGTAGTCGTGTGGTGAGAACTGTGCTGGTCCAATCTTCTGACCTTTTTAGACTGCAGCACAATGAGCCTTTCAGAAATAACAACCAACACATTTTACAGAAGCAGTGCTCTTGCAAAGACAGAAAGAGTGCGCTGTTCTTTTTTTATTGTTATGACTGCTTTGCAGTTGTGAATACTGCTCATGCTCTTAAATCTGATTTTAATTAATTTTGCATCAAAAGCGTTCCACCAGGAAATGCAGATAAGATGCACAGAGAGAAAACAGATGGTGTGAGTTGCTGGTGTGCTGCAAGGGATGAAGCAACACCCTTTCTGCAACCCAGTCAGGTCAGCAGAGTCCAGCCGTTCCACCAGATGGATCAAACGGAAGACTAGGAGAGGGATGGCTCCATGACGGATATCAGAAAGCAAAGGAGTACAATGGTAGGTTACAGCAGTTCATCTGCCTTTCCTCGAAAGATCCATGTACATATAGGAACTTAAAAGGGAGCTGCATACCAAATGCAAACATGCATACAAGTATGCAAGCAGACACCTAAAAGAAGAGAAAAGAGGCAGCTTTGAAATAATTGGTTTCAAGGGAAGATGAAGAGGGCTATTAGAGACTACATCTTTTTAGAAAAAAATAAATTCATAATGACTGAGTGCTGAAAAATGAACATATATTTGTCTAAAAATATTTAACAATATATACACATATAAAAGGGTGAAATTATAGGTTCTAACAGCCTTCATGTCTGCTTTAATTGCCCATTATCCAGCCACTAAGATACAGTATTTATCTCTCAAGGATAACCATCCAAATATATATTCATGCTGTCTTTTTCGTTTTCAGCAACATGGAAGCTCTCCTGTGTTTGTACAGTAACTTCAGCTATGCCATTCATGTGGCAACTTCTCTTGATGTCCCGCAGATTAACAAAACATTTGCAGTACATTCAATTTACAGTAGATTGCTCCTGAATTGCTCCAAACTGTTTTCCAGTCCTGAGTCCTAAGTAAGTCCATCATCTCTGTGAGAGAAAAAAGGCAACACTCAAAAGCCAGTCTTGACATTATACAAGACATTATTAAATTGAAAAAGAAGTTCAGGATATGAAAGATATACAGAGTGACAAGATGTCACATATAAATATTCATAAGGATAATTTTGCAATATACACAAGCATTGCTGTTTACAATGGACTTGTGTCAAAACAACCGCAGGCATCCTTTAAATCTTATGTTCATTTTGTGTCCAACTCCTGTTGACAATGTCACAGTTGATAGCTGCCCCCATTAATATCAATTGCAGCTTTTGTGTTTCAAGAGGATCTCAGTAGCTATTTGAATTTCTTCTTTTAATTAAGGCTTACCAGGTCTCTGTTCCAAAACAATCCAGTTTCATGCTCAGGCTGTTTGTGCTGCATAATTAGGATAAAAGAACTGCTTATACAGAACAGCTGAATGCACGAGTCATTTGCAACTATTGTAGCAAATGGCACATTTACACCTTTTTATTATTCCTGGAAAACATTAAAATACTATCTTTGTCCTTCAGGGTGCTTTTTATTATAACTGTATATACAATTGCAATTTTCTTTAAAAAAATCTTCTCTAAGAAGAATGCAACTTAGAATCAATACTTTGCACTCATAGTGTAAGTCAAACATGTTATTTAACAAAACCTCTGCTGTGTTTACATTTCTGTGTATTGTCGAATTCATATTGAGTCTAATCAAATCATTTTTAAAGGCAGATTTTTTTTTAATACTATAAAAGAGCCGCAGTACCAGATGTACTGTACATCTAGATCACAGATAAGAGATGGAATGGCTAAAAAACACTTCAAATACCATTCACTACCGCCATTATGCCTCAGATTGTAGCAAGAACCTAAAGTGATCGCAACGAGCTGATGATAAACCAATTAATCCTGCAGTACTGAGCCTTACCTGTTGTACAATCAATATAGTCCGAAATCCCATGGCAGCCTTTCGTTACCATCTGCTCATAACAAACACTAGAAAAGAGTCATCTGTCTGAATTACTGTTTGACCTTAATATAAAAGAGGGTGTTTGGATTATTTTACACTAGCTGAGTAACAGCTATTCTTTTAGAATAAAAACCTCTTGTGTTTTTACTGTATGCTGTATATACAGTATGTTATGCTTTAGCATAAACTTCTTAAGAATTAATTATTTTTAATGGGGTAAAACCAGATCCTGAATTTTAAACTATTATGTTTACCATCTACAGTTTGGATTCATTCTCTGGATGGAAGAAGAAAACAATAATTCTGTCCCAAAAAAGGGAAAATAGAGACAGGAAAGGCTGTGTTAGCAGGTGGCAAAGCAAAACATTCGTTTACATGTTTTTTAATCATTCATATCAGAGGCAGCACTGGTATAAGGCATACAAGTACGTCTAACTATTTTTAGACTTATTAATTGTACATTTATGCTTTTGGTAATTTAATCTAAAAATCTAAAATCTAAAATCCAACTAGTCATACCCACTTAGCTGATATTATTCTGAGACAAGAACTCCCACAGAATTCACCCACAAGCACTACTGATCATGCAGAAATGACTCAATCTTCATGTACAAAACAGCTAATGTTGGCTTTATTTATCAGTTCCAACAGAACTTGATGTGCCAGTTAAAATATCACAGTTTCCTTAAAAATAATTTTTCACTTTCCATCATATTTTACAAAGTATATCACTGCCTGGTTTCACTTTTATTCTTGAGTGAGATGTTCATCTTGCTGTGACAGTAATTTCAAGTTCTCAAGCCAATATTGAAGATTTTTTGCAATTTTCCTTTATTATATGCATATTCTTAAATCTACTGTCGAATACTGCTGGATTGTTACAGCATCGACAGAATTCTAGACAGAGAATTTCAATTTATGTTATACAGAAAATACTCAACAATGCAAAGGCAGAAAGAAATAACACAATGCACCCTGTTGTAACATTGTTTAGCGTTTCCAATTAAAGCACCACCTGTATACTGCACGTAATGACTAGAGCGGTGTATTTTCAATAACCCATTTTTTTTGCCAGTAATTCAGTCTGCCAGCCTCAAGATATCTCTGTTGGCTCATATCAAGCCATGTATTGAAGAAACCTTTAACAATCATTTCATTGTGTTACTTTAATCAGTTCAATGCATCGGTTCATTACAAAAAACTACTGTATATAATTGGTGTATATACACTGTAATACTACAAATGCTATTGGTATTGTTCAAATTCATGCTTTTGCATATAATAAATGCTTGTATGAATTCAAGTAGCATGATCCGATTAGTACTGTGTGGTTGACATGCTAAAATGTATCCATGTCTAGAGGCATTTGAGCCGTGTTGACATTCACAGAACATAACATTTTAGAGCTTCTTGTTAAATCATGGAACAGTTCCTCCTGTATTTCTCTCAAATTTTTTCAAAAAAATCCACTGCCGTTTCTTTAGTGTATTACATTGTCTCATTAACAGCAAGCACAAGACCTTCATATAGACTGGTGCTCACCACACAGAAAAAAAGATACAGGCTGAAACAGTGATTTTAATCAATTGCTAATGTAGTAGGCTACAACTGACTGTGTAATACCTAAAATGTCTGTTCTCAGGGCCATAATTGTTCCTCATTAGGGGCACATTTCCTGTGACTTTTTTCTGTAGCAACTTAGTAAAGGTGTAGTATAGAATAGTGGTTAGAGCTCTATTTAAATTAGTCTGATCTGTTTCTAATTCAATGGTTGTGGATGCAAATCCACACTATAGATACTGCAGTTTAGTGTATGCTTGAGTTTGGCGTTTTACCAAATGGGTTGGAGTCAAGTAAAAGGGAACTGCATTCCTAATTTCCCAGACCGGTTATAAAATCTTGGTAACAAAATTAAATGACGGTATTGCAAAATTTTACAAATTCTAAATTAAGCACTAATTCGTGAACTTTGTGATAGTACTGTTTATTCGTTGGTTCTCAAAAACCCCTGGTTATGTCACGGGCAAAAGTGAGAAATTTCACCACACAAATGTTCCAATGTGGTCTGCATGCAAAGTTAACAAGTAGTATGTGTTGACAAAACCATCTCAAAGAAGAGACCAATATTTCTTTTGGGTTAAAAGATGTATTCACAAGCTTGTTTGTTCACAATGTAATAAGGCTGCTTCACCTTACCTGAGGTGTTGTTGCCTCTTTCTGAACTGCAGAATATGGCACTGCACGTACCTGGAAATGTCATCAATGTTGTGATGTGTAAAACCTCATATTCACATTACTGTGTACATTTTACTTTCATTGTGGTTTGAAATGCTCTCATAAATGCCAATTCTTTCTAACTCCGAAATATAATAAAAGCATCGCAATTCCCCTTTAATGCTATTAATGCTGGAATCAGCTCTTGCCTAATGAGCCTTGAGGTTAAGTATTGACTGTTTTTTGTTTTTTTACTTCTCATATGGCAGTTTTAAGAATTGAATAGGTTGTTTATATTTCAACAACCTGTTTGGACTTCTGTTCATTGAGAACTACAGTTCCAATGTTAAACTGAAAAAAGCATATTAATAGCTAAATTATTGTTTACAATATATTAACTAGTGGTATAATTTACACACCTTTTGCCTTTCTAAAAACACCACAGTATAGTATTTAGCAACATGGTATATTTGTAATATATTTGAAGCTTGTCTTTTTGCATTTCAATACTGTATGTAGCAAGAATTGATCTTGATGCAATAACAACATACAGGAGGGTAGTCAGTTGCTAGGGATACAGAGTCTGTGTTTTTGGTAGGCTTTCATTAAAAATTGGAGTTTTTAAATCTCTCACATCTGTCACAAGCACAGTCAAAGCTGAACATGCCAAAAGGCGTTTGAACTGCTGAACCACATCTACCAAGCAAGCAAACCTTAAACAACAGGCTTATTTGTGCTGCTTTAACAGTTCTTTTTAAAGGGCTGCAGGACTTGTTTGAAACATTCAGAAACAAATGTAATGATTTTAAACTTAAGAATTTCCTCTTCTGGTTCATTAATTTCTACTTTTCCTTGATGACTTTCATACCCATATTATTCCCATAACCCCAATGCCCAGTGCATGAAGATTTCATACACAATAAGCTCAGTCCTTATTCATATACTTTTTAAGAAATGACACCATCTTCTTAAACCCCAATAGTTCTTGCACTGATGTCATATGAAGCAGCTCATTAATTCTTTCAAAAATGTCAAATACGCTGTCATGAACATTAGTATCTGTATAGTGACGTAATTAGAAGAAAAAAAATTCTGCTAAGAACAGCTACAAAATACAATCTGAAGTCCTACCAGTGTTTAACAATGCATTTTGAGTCCAGTACAGGAGACACAATCACACCTCTTTGTTCTAAAGATAGTTCTGATTAAAATTTTGAAAAACCCTTTAAGAAG